CGGCCTACCGGCCTCCTGGGCGGTGACTTCCTAGGCCAAGCGGCCTCCCAGCAACCGGTACCTCCTCCCTTTTGGAGGGAAACATCATTGCAGGCTCTGTTATTGTCCGCACAGGCCCTAGACCCGGGCTACTTGGACTGGTACCGGCCTACCTCTAACCTACCGCTACTGGGCCTCTAAAAATGCCAACTTTTTGTCTTCTTCTGCTTGGCCTACCTGCTACTTGAGTGTTTTTCCCCAGCTGCTCTAAGTGCCGTGGTCCTACTCCCCGCTACCGGCGTGTTTACCCCCCTGCAACCCTTCAAAGTCACGGCCACAGGTAAGTACCGGCCCGGTGGGCCTTGCAACCAACAAGTACCCTTGCGGGTCACCCCACATACCCAACCAGCAAGCACTCAGACAGACATGCAAACCAGCAGGCACGCACACACACACAACCGGCAAGCACTTCAGACAGGCATGCAAACCAGCAGGCACGCATACACACAGACTTGGGACCACAGCAGAATGCGGGAATCACAGCAAGGCATTCATTCCAGTGACAAATCCAGAAATCAGCAGTGTTCTCAGTCTGTGTTTTTGGCAGGTCATTACAACCCATGTATACTACCTCTACAAGGCACTCTGCCCATGGAACATTCAAATATAACGCCCGGGTGTGCTTCATATTTGAAGGGGCGTTCTATTCGGGTGAAAACGGTAGCTCAGGTTCAGTTTCCGTTCCTGCCGTCTTCACCCAAATAGAACGCCCGGTCATTATCGCTGCTGCATCTGAACCGAAAGTTGTGCCAAATACAGATATAATGACCGGGCGTTCTATTCAGGTGAAGAAGGTAGTAATGCATGGCAGTGTGCGACACACCCGCAGGGCCAAAAAAAGAAGAGAAGACGCAGACATACAATTAGGAGTAGTGGTTGGTAGGAGAAAACGCAGACATACAATTAGGAGTAGTGGTAGGTAGGTAGTGTGAGGTGAAATTGAGATAAGAACCTAGCTTTTATTTAAAGAAAAAAAAAAAGGAAAAAAAGCCGACAGTCTGCCGCCCGGCGTCTGTGAAGCATGCCAGCCAGCTAGCCGTCCTGACATGCATTGGTGCCGCAATAAGTGTGCGCATGACTACCATGCGGCATGCCGGACTGCTCCTGAGGGGCCCTTGTTCCTTCCTACCACACCCAACCATGTGGTAGTAACGAAGGCCCCTCGACAGCAGTCTTAGGGTCAAAAATTCGTAGGTCATGTGGACTTGAACCGTAGACCTGCCTCCAGTCGATTCAGCAGTCTTAGGGTCAAGTCGTAGGTCTACGGTCTTCCCCCGAATACAACGCACGGTCATTATAGCCGTATTTGAGGCATCTTTCAGTCTAGATACCGCTATAATGACCGCACGTTGCATTCGGGGGAAGACTGTAGCTCTCTACATCATTCGGCTAGACAGTTCTTGAAGAGTCAGCTTGAGCTTTCGAAGTGCTAGTCAAGAGTCCCAAGTCCAGCCCCAAAGGGACACAGGTATAGTCAGTCCTGGTCCATCAGCAAGTCCCAGAGTGGAACTGCACGGGACCAAGGGCCTGGGACCGGGAAGGCCAGACCGCCAAATGAAACAGTATAAATAAAGAGGCAGCGCCCAGCCATTCATTCATTCATTCATTCATTCATTAGCCTGAGAGCTAGCTACGCGGAAGCGCTGTCTGAGTGACTTGTGCGTGAGTTCACAGGTGGTCAGCAGGAAGCCCGAAGGTAGAAGAGGGCGAGCGGCCATAGCCGCTAGAGAGGAGGAAGACGACGGCGGCCATAGCTGCCAGTGTGACGAAGTCATACAGTAGTGTGTGTGTGTGTGTGTGTGTGTGTGTGTGTGTGTGTGTGTGTGTGTGTGTGTGTGTGTGTGTGTGTGTGTGTGCGTGTGCGTAGACATTCAGGGTAGATCCTAGTGCGTGTGTACGTAAGTGGGAGAGTGAGTGTGAGTGTGTCTGACGGTGGATACAGTGTTCAGGTGGGAATTCGGACTGGCACTCGGACACCATAGGCCATAGCCGCTAGAGAGGAGGAAGACGACGGCAGCCATATCCGCCAGTGTGACAAAATCAGCAGTAGTGTGTGTATGTGTGTGTGTATGTGTGTGTGTATGTGTGTGTGTATGTGTGTGTGTATGTGTGTGTGTATGTGTGTGTGTATGTGTGCGTAGACATTCAGGGTAGATCCTAGTGCGTGTGTACATAAGTGGGAGAGTGAGTGTGAGTGTGTCTGACGGTGGATACAGTGTTCGGGTGGGAATTCAGA